TCCCGCCCCTTTCCGCCCTCCGACATGTCCGCCTCCCCCACCCTGCACGTTTCCCCCACCAAATCGGTTCCCACGGAACCAAACCATTTTGCTTAGCCGTGCGGCGCTCCCAGGCCGCGGGGTCCTCCGGCACCCACATCTTCCTCTCGCTTTCGGTGGCAAGAGAACGAGAGGAGGAGAACGGCTGCGTCTCCAGAGGGCAGGCAGGAGACCATCTCAAACCGAGGCCCACCCCCTACTCCGGGGGGGGGGGGAGCCAGGGTCTTTCTCCTTTCCATCCCTACTCTAACCTTCACAACACACATCCCCCTCTTCTCAGTCTCCAGGAGACACCGGAACTCCTGGCGCAACAGACCCCCTCCTTTGAGGAAAGAGAGAGAGAAAGGACCGCTCTCCAGGTTTAGGCGCTAGAGAGCCGGCCTTTCGTGAAGCCTGCGCCAGTGCTGTTTCGGGGGAAGGAAGTCTCCGGCTCTTGTGCAGCCGTGTTGCAGAAGGGGGTAATTCCCCAACCCCTCTGACTGGCTGCAGGAAATGTCAGCCGGTGTGGGATGCTCTACCAGCTCCTAATGAGAAAAGAGGGACACGCAGAGAAAAGACACCTTTTTTGGGGGGGAGGGAGGAGAAAGACAGCTTCAAGACTGAGAAAGAGAAAACTACAGTTTCAAAGGAAAGACATCTGTTCAAAAGAGAGAGCTGTGGGGAAGGGGGGGGGGAAGAGTTAGAGTTGTCACCTTGAAGCATCCTGAAAGCATTGCTCGGTAGTTAGTGAACGGAACATTGAAACGCATGCCCAGGTTGTTTCAAGGATGAGGCGGCGGTCGAAGATACGGGAGGGGGAGGCCGTGGGCCTTCAGCCAGTCTTGTCGCTCCCGTCCCCAGTCCCAATTTTCCGCGCCACGATGGCCGCCTTGCCGACGCTCTTGCGGTCGCTCGCCAAGCCGAGGGAGCACATGAGGTCGATGAAACCCGTCGTGAAGTTCCACCGCCAGCCGTACTCGCTGGTGGAGTAGTCGAAGGGGAACGTGTGGTGGTAGTTGTGGAAGCCTTCACCTGAGGGGGCAGAAAGAGAGGGAGAGAAACGTTCAGGGACCAATGGGCTGGCAGCGTTCCTTCGCAGCCCCGGAGGGTTTGGCGGTGTGTTCAGCCAGATATTTCGCCAGGGGTAACCGAGGGCCAAGTGCCTCCTTCTACGAACTTCCTTAGAGTGGCACTTGGGAAACAATAAAGGAGGCAGGGGAGAGCTGGTTATCTTAAATAAAGAGTTCAATGTTGTTCTCCCAAGAGGAATCTGCATTCCTGTTTCCTGGTACCTTCTCTCCTCTTTCGATCAGGAGAATTAAAAACAAGCCGATTCTCAGTTTATGGCCACAGAACAACAGTCTCAAGAGTTTTCAAACTGGAATTTTTTTTCCTGCTCAAGTCAGATGGTGCCAGAGTTTACTATCAGTTTCATACAATTTATTTATTTATATTTAAACAGGGTATAAATAAATTGTATGAAACGAATGGTAAACTCTGGCACCATCTGACTAGAGCAGAAAAAAAATCAATTTGAAAACTTTTGAGGATGTTAATTTTAAGCCAATGGACCCGGGGGGGGGGGGCAGCCTTTGGTTATATGGGATAAAAGGTAAAGGTAAAGGTTCCCTTGCTCGAAAGCCAGTCAAATCCGACTCTAGGGTTGCAGTGCTCATCTCCGTTTCCAAGCCGAAGAGCCAGCGCTGTCCGAAGACGTTTCCATGGTCATGTGGCCGGCATGACTAAACACCAAGGCGCACGGAACGCTGTTCCCTTCCCACCGAAGTGGTCCCTATTCGTCTACTTGCAATTTCTTGTTTTCGAACTGCTAGGTTGGCAGGAGCTGGAACTAGAGACGGGAGCTCACTCCGTCATGCGGCACACTCGGGTCTCGAACTGCTGAACTACCGACCTTCCACAGCCTGCAGTTCAGCATCTTAACCACTTGAGCATGGACAATATTATGGAGGCTAATAGACAGCTTAATAATACCCTACATTATAGTGTAAGTAGAGAGGATCCAATTCAAAAAATTAGGACAGAGAACAACCGTGCCATCTTCGAAGCCTACCGAAGTGAAAATGGGCGTAGTCTTGATCAGGATTGACACTGCAAGAAACCTCTTTCAAAGCCCATACCCTTCGCAGTTTGCCAAGTCTGAGACAGATGTTGGCAGCACTTTGCTACCCTGTTAATTGTCAACATTCAACCAGCGGCAGACTCACAGATGACACATATGTTTCTAACCAGGTTAAATACACTACATCTGAACAGGGGCTTACTTCTGGGACCCTATTTGGAAATACCAGCCCCACTGCAGGGTTCATGTTCTCTCGATAATAATATCAACATTTTACAGGAAAAACGGAAACCCTGTAGTGGTCCCGGCGTTTCTAAAGGTAGTCTAAGAACATAAGAGAGGCCAATGTTGGATCAGGCCAAAGGCCCATCCAGTCCAACACTCTGTGTCACACAGTGGCCAGAAATACCAGGTGCCATCAGGAGGTCCACCAGTGGGGCCGGGACACTAGAAGCCCTCCCACTGTTGCCCCCCACCCAAGCACCAAGTATACAGTGCATCACCTGCCCTAGACTGAGAGTTCCTATCGATACCTCGTGGCTAATAGCCACTGATGGACCTCTGCTCCACATGCTTATCTACTTCCCTCTTATAAGAACATAAGAGAGGCCAATGTTGGATCAGGCCAATGGCCCATCCAGTCCAACACTCTGTCACACAGTGGCCCAAAATACCAGGTGCCATCATGAGGTCCACCAGTGGGGCCAGGACACTAGAAGCCCTCCCACTGTTGACCCCTGCCCCAAGCACCAAGAATACAGTGCATCACCTACCCCAGCCTGTGAGTTTCTATCTATAACTCATGGTATAGACCTCTGCTCCACGTGCTTATCTAATTCCCTCTTATAAGAACATAAGAGATGCCAGTGTTGGATCAGGCCAAAGGCCCATCCAGTCCAACACTCTGTGTCACACAGTGGCCAGAAATACCAGGGGCCATCAGAAGGTCCAGCAGTGGGGCCAGGACATTAGAAGCCCTCCCACTGTTGACCCCCCCCCAAGCACCAAGAAGACAGAGCATCACTTGCCACAGAGCCCCTATCTATACCTTGTGGCGAATAGTCTAGTTGGGCGCCTGCTAGAAGGTGAGGCAGTAGTTCCCAGCGCCCCAGAGCAGAAACCAGAAATCGAATCCAAGAATTCGACTTCTAAACCCATGAAGCAGTCAGGCCAATTCTGTCTGTGATGACTCAACCATATGAGAGGGGAGAAATCACTGAGACGACATCGCTAATTAGTACTACGGTGTCATCAACATGCGGTTGCGCTTTATAGCCCGACAATGAGACTGATGCAGTAGTTCCCAGCACCCCAGAGCAGAAACCAGAAATCGAATCGGCCTGCATAAACAGTTCCAAGAATTCGACTTCTAAACCCATGAAGCAGTCAGGCCAATTCTGTCTGTGATGACTCAACCACATGAGAGGGGAGAAATCACTGAGACGACATCGCTAATTAGTACTACGGTGTCATCAACATGCGGTTGCGCTTTATAGCCCGACAATGAGATGACAGAATCGCCTCACAAGATTACGATCTAAAAACTGGAGAAAGGGGAGGGAGGTCATGAAGACTGGGGTGAGGAGACGCAACCGCTGTTGCATAATCCGGTTGTCACAGAACAAGGAGCGAACGATAAGGGCACGGAAGAAGCTGTCGTAAAGCTTATCAGAAAACAACATCCAGTGAAATCTAGATCGAACGGCCAAATATAAAATATGATCCATGCGACGGTCACCTCGAGATTGGACTACTGTAACGCTCTCTACCTGGGGCTGCCCTTGTCCCAAATCCGGAAGCTACGGCTGGTGCAGAATGC